ATGTACAGATCTAAAACCCTGCTGTGCTCAGTCACCCTTCCGAACGCCTCCAACAGGGAACACATGGACGCCTGCTCTGTGTTGGACTAACAGTGAAGCAGAGCTCAATCCCTCCACAGGAGACTTGGCCACCTGGCTACATGCTTCTCTCTCCATGCTTCTGCTTCACAATTAGTCTTCTAGGCTCCCTGGATAAAGGGGCTCATCCTACTCTTTGCCTCTTCCTTGTACTCCCACTGTGCATCAATAGCGAAGGAACTGGGACTTCAGATTCCTCCACAGAAAGTCTGTATATCAGCTCGAACAATAAAACGCTTTGGGGCGCATTTTCCTTTGTTAGTGTTTCCAACAGAATGTGTCAGCATTTTGTCTATGTATGAAAAAATATTTTGACATATATTTGAAACAAATTGCATAGATTGATTATTAGTTTGAACTGTGATTGGCCAATCTAAGGTCTAAGGTGGTTCTTGGCCAAAATAACTAGCAAAATGGACAAAATGTATTGGCGATAGTCAAAACAGAATGTTCTATGAATATTCGAAACATGGTTTTGTTTTGTTTTTAATGTTTCAAAAACATTTTCTTGGTTATGCAAATGTTAAGGGAACATTCAATTGTATAATTTTGCACACATTATGAGAATGTTACTGTTGAATGTTCTCTGAACGTTCTGAAACAAATACTAATATTTACAAAAGGTTAGACGATCATTCAGCCGAAACTTTTCAGAAAAAAAAGTTCCATGAATTACATATAAAAAACATTTTTGTGCTAACATTTTGAGAACATTATTAAAAACCGGATAGATAACTTTATACTAAAGTTCTATTAATGTTATTGAAAGAACTTTTAGGAAACCGTAATGCTAGCCTGGGAAATTTTGAGAACATTCCCTGTTAACTGGGAACTGGCCAAAACAACTTTCTGTGACCATGTTGGGGTGAAGTCAGGTAAATTGGGACACTCTTTGCCATTGAGATGACTGGGGGGAAAATGTCCCTATTTACCTGAATTGACCCCTATTACAAATCAGAATGTCAAAGTTAAAAATCACACTAATGCTAGCCTGGGAAATTTTGAGAACATTCCCTGTTAACTGGGAACTGGCCAAAACAACTTTCTGTGACCATGTTGGGGTGAAGTCAGGTAAATTGGGACACTCTTTGCCATTGAGATGACTGGGGGGAAAATGTCCCTATTTACCTGAATTGACCCCTATTACAAATCAGAATGTCAAAGTTAATGTAAAATCACACAAGGGAAAATATAGATAATTTCATGTGTTTTTACTATATGGCTGTCTGGTAAAAGAATAAAAATACTAGGAATCAAAGGTGAGAGTCAAACCTCTACTGATTGATAAAGTGCACCTGACTATGAGGGGTGTTACACAAGCGGAGAGTTTGTTTAGTCTGTTTGTCTTGGGTCATTCCAACATTTTATCTATGTCTAGTTCACCATTACCAAACTACACTGTGCTGGAAAAAATAATTCCCATAAGTCCAACATAACAGTGTGACTAAATATACATGTTTGCATTCAACAAGCTGCCTTTTCTCTCCCTTGATTTCTTTTATGTATCATGCCCATGAGCATTAGTTCTGTTTGTGATATGTAAAATGTAATATCCAATGACAAAATCGACAACTAATTCTTTATACAAAACATTTTTAACAAGAAAAGAGTTTTCCGGTTCAGCAAACTGTTAGGTTATTATAGGCTAAAAATCACAAAGGACTGGAAAGGTCATGGAAATTTATTTATAGGTCCTTTTTTTTCGGAGGTCCTTTATTATCAGTATTAATATAATTGTATTTTAGAACTTGTAATCTAATTTATATGGTCAAAGATTTTCCGAAAACCTCAAGAAACGTAGGCCTACCTATGTGTAAGTGTAGGTAAAAAAAACAACAACAACAACAACACACACACACACAATTTCGAGAATCGTTGACCTTTTGTTTGTTTTTCTTTCTTTGAAAACCTTCAACAGTGGAGTCAAAGACCCTCAAGCCCCCCATAGTTCACAATATGACAACACTGAGAGGTTTATATGTCACTAGGCTACTGGGATGAATATGAGCCACATAATTTCCTGCTCTTAATCCGCTTTTATCCTGACGCTCTCTAACGATGTAAAACGTACGTATGAATAACAGCGCGTTAAAAAAGCGTACCTGTACCACTCGAGTCCTTTCTCGTAGTTGCGATCAAAAAAGTGCGGCTCCGCTCCCACCGCGCGGATGTCAGGATGGAGGCGCAGAAACTCGAGCAGCGCGCGCGTCCCGCCCTTCTTCACCCCTATTATAATCGCTTGGGGCAACTTTTTGGTCTCGTTCAGGGCACCTGCTACTCCTGAGTCCTCGACATAAACAACATCGCCCTTATTTTCCTCCCAGCCGTCTCCTTTGCTGTCAGCATCACTCTCGTTGTTTAGTAAGTCCCTGGACTGGCTTTTGAGGAACATCTCCAGGTCTTGTTTCTGGAGGGGTCTGGGTGGATTCCTGCTGCTCCTTTCTTCCATCATGAAGGTCGGTGTGGTGGAGCAGTAGCCCACACAGCAGTACAGCATGTACACCCACAGTGACAACATGATGCAGAAGACGAAAAGTTTGTTTTTCACCGGCTGAGTGGAGTGACAGTGCGGACTATATTCCATAGGACTCTCCTGTGTGTAATGTCAATGTCCAGTAGGGCATATTGGCAAAGTTACTTGCTCCTCCGCATAGGTCCCTGTAACATGCGGGCATCTCCGCGGGAGAGGAAAAATAGGAGCATGAGTCCCCGGCAGATGTTGAATTCATTTCATTTTGGTGTCTGGACGGTGCCGGAGATGTAGGAAGTCACAGTTGTTACACTGGCACGAGCGCGTCTTTGCGCATCACTCCGTCACCTCCCACTGGTTCATGTCAACTGAGTGAACGACGGGCAATGCACACTATTTAAAGAAGAGGGGCGTGTGATTGGGGGATTGGCCAATCGGAATACATGCCCAAGCCCTGAAGGCTTAAGTAGCCTATTATTTTTTAATCTTATTTTTATTTTTTTTGACTGCAGTGTCTTCTTCTTCTTCTTTTCTCAAAGTAGATTTTATTTTGAAAATAACTGTCACTTCTTTAATAAGCAGAAAGCAGGAACCTGGCGCATGCTTGTGACAACTTACCCCACTAAAAATGTGAAAAAGTGCTTGAAGAAAAAGATTGTAATTTAACAGGGGTTTCAACTACAAAACAGTTCAAAAGTTTGGGGTCGGTAAATTTCTTTTTTTATGATGTTGAAAGAAGTCTCTTATGCTCACCAATACTGGATTTATTTGTTCAAAAATATAGTAAAAGGAGCAATATTGTGAACTGTTATTACAATTTAAAATAATCGTTTTCTATTTGAGTATCTTAAAATGTAATTTATTTCTGTGATGGCATTATTACTTCAGTCTTCAGTGTAACATGATCCTTCAGAAATCATTCTAATATACTGATTTTCTACTGTGTGTGTGTGTGTGTGTGTGTGTGTGTGTGTGAGAGTTTGGCCTCAGATCAGGGGCCTTGGACCTCCAGCACCTGTAGCATTCTAGATTATCAGGATTACGCCAGAGCTGCCATGCCAGTCCACTAATCCCTTTATCTCATCTAGCACACAGTGTCTATGTGTGTGAGATGACTGTATCTGCACTTCCTGCATGCACTGCTGTCTGCAAAACACATCTGCTTCCTGTCAGGACAACCCCCTCCACAAATAAAAAGTGACAAAACACTTACATCTGTAATAAACACAAGCATAACAGATACAAAAAGATTTTTCAAAGTTGTAAATAAAATACTATTTCAGTCTTTCTACTGCAAAATTTCATGTGTTGCTTGCTGTTTCTTTCCATTTAATTGTGAAATATACTAGTTATTTCTGAAATTGTTTCTACACCATTTTTTTTCTCTGTGTGTTCATTTACAGTACATTTACAGTTAAGTGAGGACTGTGAAGTGGTTCGAATGACAGTGTTCATTTCCAGGAAAGGAGTACAAGATCAGGACTGATGTGAAATGCTTGATTCGGGTCAGTAAATCCATTTATGCAATTCTGGCTTTGATACAAGACCCAGAATGTACACTGAACATTTAGTGGCAACCCAACACAGAGCTAAATTTTATTTTAAAAATTGTCTTTAAAATCAAACTTTGAAGTGTATTAATTTTTACAAAGAACTAATATCAGACAATGTGAAAAAAATATTATACTCTTAATAATAAAGGTTCCAAAAGTTTTTTTTTTTTTTGCAGTGATGTCAAGAGAAGAACCATTTTTGGTTCCTCAAAGAACCTTTCAGTGAACAGTTCTTAAAGGAGACATATTATGCCCCTTTTAACAATATGTAATATAAGTCTCTGGTGTCCCCAGAATGTGTCTGTGAAATTTCAGCTCAAAATACCCCACAGATCATTTATTATATCATTTTGAAAATGCCTGTTTTGAGTGGAAGCAGAAACACGCTGTTTTTCGGGCCTGTGTCTTTAAATGCAAATGAGCTGCTGCTCCCCGCCCCCTTTTCCAGAATAGAGCTGCGCCATTACAGCTCGTACCTGCTAAAAACATCTGTTTTGGTTCTGATTGTCATGTTTATCAAGCTGAAATCATGCGTTTTAAACCATTAGAGTTTAAACTTCTGATATATGGTTTTCTGAGTGCACACATCCGAAGCACACACACAGAAAGCGGCTGTCACAGCATGTGAGTAATAAACTAAGTTCTCATTCACACACAAGTTTAAAAACACACATGAGTTACAAAAA